ACATCTCTGGCAGTTCAGTTAGAGTTGATAAAAACGGATTCACGAAAACTACTATTCTTAATACAACTGATACTGACTGTGAAATCAATATCCCGGAAATTGATTGACTCAATGTCCGAGTATGATATAAGAATCATGAAATTACAATAAAAAATAAACTCATCCATAAATCACAAATCTTCTTGACTATCTGCACTAATAGAAAGCATCCGTGGTGCTTACCTAAATCATGAAGAAATAGCTCACTTATTACAAATTTGCACTGATTTCAATCATTTATTCTGTCTTAAAAAAGATATACTCACAAACACTGATTCTTCAGACCATAAAATCCTGACAACTGACGACATACCAATATACGAAAAAATGTACCGATTTCCCGAAGCTTTCAAAGATGGAGTAGCTAGACAGATCTCAGAGATGAAAAACGACGGCAGAGTAAGAAATTCTAAGTCTCCGTGGAACGCACCAGTGTAGGTTGTGCCAAAAAAAGGACGCCCATACAGAAAAGACGACGGGGCTGAACATGGGCCACGCTTGGTGCAATAATGTCTAACTTAGGCCCATGCTTGTAAGCTCGCTTCAGCCCAGCTTTGGTAGAAATCTGGAATGATAACAAGGTGCTAGATTTGGTTATTATCATTGGCCCACGCATCATTGCCACGACTAGGTTATGTATGGTTACCAGGAATGGTTCAAACTTAAATTTCAATTCTGGCCCATGTTTTAATGCCAGAATTAATCCATGCAACAATATTAATTGAATAAAATTTATCGAATAATAGTTAAGTTATTAAATGACCAGTCATAGAGGTATAGGTAGGTTTATTTTTTATTATTCATATGATTAACTAATATAATATTTATTATATTTAGCATTGTACATACTATATCTGAAATCTTTCTTTTATAAAATTATTAAAATTTTTTGTAATTATTAAAACTTGTTTTTGTACTTAGTGATTGATTACAAATATTAAAACATTTTTAACTTCTGAGTACAAACGTATAAATAATATTTCATGTTTATATTAATTCTTCAAGTTTAATTGCACTACATTCTCTTATAATTATATTAAAATTTTTTTTTTGTGATTCTAATTATTCATTCAAAGTTATCGATAATAAAGAAAAAGAAACAAAATGGAAAGTAAAAAAAAAATTTCACTTATTTCCATAACTACTCTGCAACATTATTATTTTTATTCTCATGCTGAGCTCGACCACCTTCTCTGTCTTTTGCCTCTGATAAAAACTGACTCACCCAACTGATTATTTCCAGTTTGTCTTTGGAGGCACGATACTTGAATTGAAGGAATTCTAGAAAAATAAACACAGTTATAAAATCGAAATAAACATTTTAATAAATCTGAGTAAAATCACTCACTTACTTTCCATAATATGGAAAGATTCTGTGTCTTTAAAACTCTTTTTTCCAACTCCTTTAATTTTTTTTCCACACCCGCTATATTGGCACTAGACATTCTTTCTTATGAGTTTGGCCATTATTCTCTGCACGTCATTTTCACAATCAGAAGATCCAGCTGTAATCATTTGGAAGACATCAACCTGTATATAATTAAAAAATAACATTTGAATTATTCGTACATAGCATACATAATGAAAGAGTGGCATTTCAACAATTAATGAGAAATCATTGCATGATCAGTAAGAAATTTGTAAATATTTTGTAATTACCAGTGATTTTTTTTCTGCTCATCTTCTTTCAAGGATTCTCCGAAAGTTAAAAATTTTTTAATAGAATCAGATGGCAAATAATTGCCAAGGTCCTGCCAGGCTTTCTGTTCTGTGGGTGGATTGGATGGTTTTCAAAACTTGTTTAAATTGATGACAATTTTATTCATGTTATATGCAATACGTAGATATTTAAGATTTTAAAATTTTGTGTGCTTTTGTGTCCGATTGTATCTCAGGAAATTTCTTAATCCACAAAAATAACTGAAATCCTACCGAAACCGACTTTGCCAGATTTCAGTAAAATTTGCGCTATGTCCACGTCCTAAGTGACTCTGATATAACAACATTCATATGTGATACACTATTGGAATGTTTGGATACCAAAAATAATAGGAATCACATGGAATTCCAAGTCATTTATTAAATGAAATAGACTCTTTTTGCTTTCAATTGATAATAAAAAACTAGGGACTTTCAAAGAATCATTTTCATCTTATTTACAAAAATATTCTTCGTATAAAATTTTAAGAATTAACAGCGATTTTTGGAGTGAGTGAATAAAATTGATAGTGACAATAAGTTGCATTGAATACTTACTTAATTTTAAGTATTTTTAAACTTTATAGACGTTTTTACATTATATTCACGAATTTTCTATTTTAAGAAAGAAAACTTTTGACAGTGAAAATGCCCTGAATCTAACTTCTTAAAACTAAATTTTTTTATTAATTATGAACATTATTTATTAACTTACATGATTAAACTTTGTTTAAATATCATTAAGAAGGTAAGTGTATAGTATATAAACGAAAAATATAAATAATGTCTTATTGTTAACGTTAATATCTAGTCTTCATAAAAAAGAGTTGATCGTGGCAACGCTGTAATATTATTTATTCATTTTTCTTAAATTGGCAGGATTGCACCTCTATAGTTATGTAGACAGTATAGGAAAATTGAGCTAGGTAGACAGATCAGCTGAAATACTTCATTGGAGGTTAGATTTCAATACGTTATAGGTTTCACATTTAATACAATGTTAAAAGCAAATTATCGTTGGAAAGGTAAACTTGTTACCAAAAAAACTTATCTAATACGACTTGCTCAACAACAGTCTGGATTAAAAAGCAGAAAATATCCAATTCGACCTAAAGCAAAAGAAAACATCGCAACTGTAATTAAAGACATAGTGCCTTTGAATACAACACCTGGAATTGAAGATAATGTGCCTAATAATACAGTACCTGTGGTTATAGATGAAGTGCCTTCGAGTAAAATACCTATCATTGAAGACGAAGTGCCTATAAGTGAGATTGATCTGGAGGAAAAACGACCCAACTTCTTTCATGGACGAAGAATTGTCGAACTTGCAATTCTCGGTGAACAGTTATGGTGTGCTTCATGTAGAGAAGCACTTTCTTTGCAATACATCGTAAATGAAATAAGACGTGGTATGGCTTCTCAATTATCAGTAAGATGTCATAAGTGTCTTACTATTAATCAAGTTTCAACAGGAAAGCAGAGAGATTCACTTGACAAACGTAAAACTCATTTTGACATCAACAGAAAAACAGCAATAGGTACTATTTCAGAATGAAAAGATAATAATATGCTTTATATAGATTTGACATTTTTTAATTTTTTATTAATGTTATGTAGGTGTTCTGCATAGTGGATTAGGGTGAACTCATCTATGTAAATTGTTTGCATGCATGAATATTCCTTGCTTTGACTTCAATACCTTTAAGAAGTATGAATATGAAGCTGGACGAACTGCAGAACAAGTCGCTAGAGAATCTTGCAGGAAAGCAACCACGCTGGAGAAAAAACTAACACGAGAAAATGCTGCGATCATCGAAAAAGAACTGTAATTAAGAAACTTTCATAAAGAAATATCTTAGAAACTAGTTTAAAAAACAGGGGATATTGGAAAAATTCCCTACCACATATCAATTTTAAAATATTTTTGAAGTAATTATACTTCTTACTGTTTTCTGACAGTTCTTCATTGCTGGTTTTTTGGTGCAATTTATTTCTTATTTTTATAAATGCTCTGTATTCTTTGATACTAGTTTCTGGGACAACCTTCCTATGTACATTCCTACTTTATGATACTATTTTTAGTTACATCTATTTACATGATTAATGATTTTAATATATAGTGAACCGATATACAGACACCGTCTACAAACAATTAGTTAACAGCAGTTATGTAAACTGTTAACAAAGCTTTTTTTTTTCAGTGTGATATTTAATATTAAATGAAATTCCGAAAATAATGTAAATATAAAAAAGTAAACTAATCCTTCTAAATTTAATGAATTTATTGCAATTTGTAAATAATTATGTGAATTAATTTTTTTTATCGATGATTTTTGGTTCAAAAAAGCATATTTGTAAATATAATAAACGAAAATGTATTGCATTCCATTCAAGTACTGATAATTTGATATTGATAATTTTTCTTTTTTACAATCTACTGCTGTAATTTTTTTACATGTTTACTATGTTGGAAATAATAATAAATAAATTTATTAAAAATAAGATAATCATTCAATAATTTTTGAATGATAATCTTATTTCTTTATATATACTTATGAATAATTTTCTTTATTTTTTTTTATTTTAGACCAGAACAATTTCAATCGGGTTTTATAATTCCATCTGTTTCTGACAATGAACCATCCTTAGCCGGTACCGAATTATGTACGTCCATTCTAAATCCCAGTATTTCTTCTAGTACAGATATTGAGCATCAAGCTCCGATTTCATTTGAGAATGTGATTAGATCAATGATTTCATACGATATGGGCTGGAGTACAAGAGGTGCTGGTAGAAACTATGACAGCTTAAATGGTTTCAGTGCTATAATTGGTGTTTTAAGTGGACTGGTTTTAGACTATTCTACGTGCAATCGTAAGTGCAAAAAATGCGATGTAGCAAAGCGCAAAGGTATTCCTGTAGTCGATCATGACTGTAGGCATAATTTTAATGGTTCTGCGAAAGTAATGGAGCCACATAATGCCAAAAAAATTATTGTTGAAAGCTCTATACTCCGTTCGCACAATGCTCAATGTGGTGTTTTAGTGGGTGATGACGACAGTTCAACCATTGCCGTATGTCGAGCTGCAAGTGACCACTCAATAATCAAACAATCAGACATTAATCATACTTCTTCTGGAGTAAAGAAGTAACTATATAATATTCAGAAAAGTCATCATGAGCTGAGTAAAGGTCGTATAACTTATCTACATAGATGCTTCACATATGCTGTAACACAAAATAAAGGCGATAGCAAAAGTATGGCTAATGCTGTACGAAACATTTCTTATCACGTATTTAACTATCATGATAATTGTGGCCTTTGGTGTGGATATGTGCAAGATAAGGAAAACTACGACTATAAAATTATACCCGGAGGATTTGATGATCTACAACTGTTTGCAGCCCTTCAAGATATTTATAACAAATTGGGAGATAATGCCGAGAAATATTCTGCTGCTGCTTCTAGCAATGCCAATGAAAGCCTCAATAATACCATGGCTAGCAAAGCTCGAAAATCATGTTGTTACAGCATGAGTGCATCTGCTGATTTTCGATTTTCATGCACTATTGGCCAAAAAAATATCGGAGAAGGGTATATCCAAGAAATCGAAAAAGTTAAAAATTTATCTCCAGGAAAATTTCTTGCGGATCATGTTCAGCGGGTACAGGAGAAAACAGGCAAGAAAAGACTATTTAAAAATCTTCTAGAAGCTAAAAGAGCACGAATAGATAGAAAGAAAAAGAGAACTGCCTTACGTCATCGAAAAGGAGATAATGAAGGTGTCACCTATGAGAGTAACTGTGCTCTTTTTGGCGAGCCAGCCGTACAACTGGAAGAAGATTACTTACAAGAAGAAGAAGAAGAAGAAGACGATGACAATTGTATTGTTTTAATCGATCTGGAAACGTCAAGTTTTAATATGAATTGTGACATATTACAGATTGCTGCTAAATATAAAAATAATTATTTTTCAAGATACATAAATCCTGTGCAATCGATTGCCCAATCAGCTACTGACGTCCATGGATTAACAAATTCTTACGGCGAACTGATGCTTAATGGGATGAAAATATCATCTGTACATATCAGAACAGCATTAAATGATATAAAAGAGTGGTTAACTTCGATCGGGAAGAAGTGTTACATTACTGTTCATAATCTAACCTTCGATGGGCCTAGGTTGTGGAGATCAATTTGTAAATATTCATTACTTAAGGAATTTTCACAAGTGATATATGGCTTTATAGATACTCTACCAGTTATTAGAAGTGTGACTGGCCGAAAAGCTAAGAATGAATCTAGTCTGACTGGATTGGCGCATTCTCTAAATATTAGCACGGCTGGTGCACATAATGCCAAAGATGATTGCAAAATACTCCAAAAATTACATATATCAAAAAAAGTATTATTAGATAACTTCAAAACATTTAATAACAGGATTGATGCATGGGAAGCGAATAAAAAACGGAGTATTATTTTAGGTGGCTTGATTCCTTTAAAAAATGTTGGATTGTCAATTCGAAAACAATTGGCTGATGCAGATATTAGCATAGAAATACTGAAAGATATTTTTCAGGGCCTGATGGAGTTAAAAAATTACTCAACAATAAAATAAAAAATAAATCGTTATCAAAATTACACGTACTATCACTTCAAAAAATTATTACATCACTTGCAACAATTCGCGAGCAGTAAATAATATTTCAAAGCAAGTAATGTAAGCAGAGCTTTATATTGAGATGTTAATTGTAGCGGAATATGATATTGCAATATGATTACATTAAGTTTGTTAGAAGAAAAAAAATTCTTTTCATTTTTGGGTTTATTTATTTTCTTGAATTTGAATATGAAAATATGATACAGTTTTATTCGTTTATATTGAAATGTCACCAGATAAATAGCTCTGTACCAAATAGTGGAATTCATTTATCATTATTATTTTTTGTTAAAAAAAATGAAATTTTTTTTAATTTTATACGCATTTACTTTCTGCAGTTTAAATGTAAATGTTATTCAGTTGGGTCGTATTATTTTCAAATTTATTTAAAGAAATAGTTATTATATCAAATTTTCGCACATATTCACTATTATTATTTTCATTTTTTGGGGTGCAAATGAAAAATTCTGAATAATATTTGCAAAAAAGTAACATAGAGAACTAATGTCATGGGTCTCTTCTAAGATACATTATTTTTAATGACAGCGACAAAGATAGAAATATGTGATCACGTGACTACTATTTCGACGTTGCCAGATCTTTTTGTTTGGTAAAGCCGCTTGTCACGTAAAGCGTCAAATTTTGAAAAATTATAATTAATCCTGTAAGAACGATGTATCAAAGGTCAATAAAATTTCAGGAGAACTTTCTATTAAATTAAAGCTATATATACAAAAAAATTGGAAGAAGCTCAATCGTTTTTTCTGTTGTTATTTGATTTTTATATTCAATAAGATATGTGTTTTCCATAAGAACCCATGTAAAATTGCTAGTTTTAAGTTTCACTTCTATTACCAGTACCTATGATTGCCTGAAATTTCTTCTTTAAACTCACTGCGAGATTGCTACGACGATAACAATTTAATTTTATTTAAATATTTTTTTATTTAAAATTTCTGAAAATCGAAATTTTCGACCTAGACACATTAATAAAAGAAGTTACACAATCATTACAAGCTCAGAATGCTGTTACTGGAATGACTATCTTTCGATGAAACTGTGGTTACCCTACGAATACATTTTTGAAAAAGACTAGTAACATTGATAGAAGATAGGAATGTACAAATTATTCTATCGATAAATTCGAATTTTATATGCATTCATAGAATTTTTCTGCAAGAAACATGTTTTTATAAAAACATAATTTATAACTATTTTAGCTATTTCCTATGCTACATAGGTGTATTTTTTGCTTTTCTATTATTGTGCGGAGCCTCTTTTTTATTCCTTTGCGACAGAAAAAATTTCAACATGAAAAAGTCAATTATACGATTATTTTTTTTTATCATTATTCAACAAACAATTATTTCTTCATTTAATTGTTGAAAACATTTTTTTATCAATAATTCCTAAAAAATTCATTTTAATCGATATGCAACACGCGGGAAACATTCTTCATTTTCTAGAACATAGATGTCTCTTTGTTAGGCAAGAGACAAGAAAAAATCACAAAGTTAAGATAAAAGAGAGTGATAACAATACATAAGGCAAGAAAGAGGGCACTGTAGGAACTCCAACGCGAAAGTGAGTGACAAAAGGCACATTCAGTAAGAGATAACACATGATAGAACGCTCGATGAAGTAGAGTGGAAAAGTAAGCGAAAAAGTCTTGAATAGCAGAAATATCGCTGTTAGGGGCATGGCTTATTTATAACTCCGTCAATAATTAACGAAAAATGCGCGTTTAACGTTTGATCGGAAGCTTATGATAGCAGATAAGTACCTATCGAATATGAAAGCATTACATCTAGTAATTAGAAAGATATTTGCATGTAAGGATGCGTTGATTACGTCGCACAAAATTTTTCGTGTATAGAGTAGTCGGTTGCCTCGGCGCTCATGGGGGAAAGAGCGCACTAGTGAGAAACAGAGAGAGAAAGAAAGAAGGTGAATGTGCACTTGGCGCCGAGTATTTACCGCTACTCTAGACCTATGTACGATTACCAACTTGAAAAATTTGAAAATTTAAATTTCTGCCTGTCGACAAAATACAATATGTCAGATAAAATATTTTTCTCATATGTAGTCCATTGATGTAGAGTTGCCAATTCAAGAAAAACATTATAAGTATTAAAAATGATAAAAATAGGCGTAGTAATATTGATCACAACATAACAGTAATAATAATTACTTTTATACAGTATAAATGTATTATTATTACTATTGATTTTATTTAAATCCGCAGATAACTTTTACTAACGTCAAGATTATATTTCATTGTCTCAGTTTCTACACGTAGGCTTTTAAAGACGATTAATTTACTATTAATTACCACAAGATTTCCATGTTATTTTTCTAATATCAACTAATACGTTAATAGTTTAATTATGGCTAAATGAAACAACTGTAAATACCTTGACAGTTCGTTGGCAGCAATTCTGTAGTCATCCCGTCTTTTCGAGACTGAACTAATTTATTGCTGTTGGTGGTAACATGATCTTTCGTAGAAACCTCCATGAGTTTTTCTTCAATAATATTGTCAATCGAATAATCATTTATTAGCGGTTTTGAATTTGCTAAAGCCCGAGTAACAGCTGAAGTTTTCATGAAGACAACTCGACCATCATTACTTGGCCAAGAATCATTTTCAGAACTGTCAACATTGCGTTTTTTGAAAGACTCCTGTAATTGTCGGACGCCTTGTTCGTAATCTTTTGAAATTACAGTAAACTATATAAAGCACACTACAAATAAATATAAAAATAAAAAAAAAAAAAAATGTCAAGACCAATTGTTTCAAGAGTATTGAAACTTCTAACAATGATAGTGATATAAAGATATAACTAAATAGTTGTTCTTTTTTAAAAGTATTTTCTCTAAATGAATTTTTTTTTTTTTTTAGGAAAAAAATTTATCTTATAGTAGAATAAAATTAACATTTGAGTATTATGTTACACTGTTTCATGTGTTAAAAATAACTGATTTACAACATTGATTGAGAATAATTGTTATAAATAATATCAATTATTAAAACTCCGAAAACGTATTTGATAAATATTAAAAAATTAATCAGAAGACAGCACTTTGAATACGATCATTTAAAAAAAGTAATTGATGTATCTCTTTACTTACTTGCTTTAGTGATAACCTCGATTGGTTACGTATCCCACGTTTCATTAGTATCAGCTGGAATTTTCACCAATTCTCTAACATTATATTCTAAATTTTTCGGCGACCAAAAGCACAGAATGTCATTTAACGATAACGAAGAAGTTGGTACTAATTCCACCACTTTTTTTCCTTTAATTATTTCATCGAATTCGACTACTACGTACTGTTTTAGTGTATCTGATATTTTAGTAACTTATAAACGTAACACTTTATAATCCACAACAATAAAATTTAGGCTGTAATACACTGTACACTCACGAACTAACAAGAGCGACTGTCTACGCTTTCTCCCTTCTCCCGAAAATTACATGCAACGGACCAATAACTAATATGATACTACATGATATAATATAATACATACATATATAAATATTTCCTTTTTTTATTTGAACATAAATGTATGGATCTGTAAGCACTCATATTTCTGTGATTTTTTCTCAGAATAAACTCTTTATAATTTTAAAGTAAATTTAGATGAAATTGAAAGAAAATAATGATTTAAATTTAAAGAAAAAAAAATTATCGTTCATGGTTAATGATAATTAATTGATTTATGAAAATATAATGTTTATGAATCCAAACATGTAGTAGAGTCACTACAATTTTTAAGTCATTTATATTTACATTTAATAAACTGTCAATAACAAAGATTTTGTCGTTTTGTAATCGAATGACATTATCTGGATGATTACAATATAGAGTCACACCAGGTAAATGAACTTTTTTACCCTGAAATATCGTTGTTTATTGTATTTAACTGATTCAATACCATGTTCATAGATGCACTTACACAAGGCACTTTTTTTTATTTTTATATGGTCAGCATTCTCTTATTCATCTAATCGATTTGCAATTTGGGTGAGAGGTTTATACGGCAACTTTACCAAATGTTTAATTAAACTTACATAATTTCTCCCCAAAATGCCGATATTTCACTTAATGAAACTTGAAAATAACGACCATCATCTGGTAAGTGTATTAAATTATGCATATTTGGAACTCGAGAATTTTCTCCATATTCCGACGGCAGTAATTCAAAATATGTTCTCAGCTGATCTTGAGCATAGTCAACAAATCTTACTGCGTTCAATTCGTCGTTTAAAATTCTACATACGACAAATAATAATAAAAAATGATGATATTTATTTTCAGATAGTACATTTTTTAAAGCTAAAGGTCCAATGTATAATAAAAAAAAACGAAATTGAGTGGCTTTCTACTTTGAAACTTGGTCAGTATCATCTAATTTCCTTACAACTTCCTCGGGAATATCTGTAGATATGGATTTCATTGTTGTTTTTAAAATTTCAATTTTACATGTTTTTAACCAGGCACTATGTTCTTTCACTACAAGTAACTTCTCTAGGATACTTTTTATCACTCCAAAATACAATAAATGCATCGAATCTAAAACCACATCATTCACTGGATCAAACTTTTTCAATTTTAACAATTTACATTTTTCGTCTTTCACATGGTGTTCTGCCTGTTTTTTCTTTTTAAATGACTTCCTTTTCGTAACTCACAATTCATATCCGAATAAACACGCTCATGATTTTTAGTGACACCTTTAACTGTACATCTTTCACAAGCGAAAAAACCTCCAGGATTTTTCACACCTTTGAGGCTCAGAGTCACCACAGTATAACGCAATTGTCACAGACTCGCTTTCATAATTACGATGATGAACTCTTAACACCATAGGCCATACTCGAACCGATGAATTATTTCAGATCGAAACTCCATCAATATGTATCTGTACCGATATAGTATTTTCGGTATAAATA